CGCTTATAACGATGGCCACTTCACTACGTTTATCAAATTCCTTAAGTGCGCTCCGCAGTCAGATTGTCGCTTACTGCACCGACCATTTTCTAGCCACCTTCTGCCAGGCAGTTACTATTATTCTTATTAAATTATATGGCGTGTACCAAGCCACCAGCCAGCCACATTCAAGTTACGTGTTTAAAAAGTGTGGCGTGGCGCGCCGTAGTGTGAAGTTTGGCGTAACACGCAAATTTGTGTAAATCGCTGTACTGAATCGTCAGAAATTACCGGACAAGCTTGTATATGCATCGAAACGCCTATCGCAGTATTACTAATTTATCATTAATAATGGCGTTGTTATTACCAGATAACGCTGAAAATCGACGAATTGGACAGGTCAGCTGGTACTGCATTACTCCACCGTATGCACAGTACAAGACTGTATATATCCGCATATTGCACAGGCCAATCTTTGGTTCTGGGAAAATGGACATTAGGTCAGTATAAAGATGTTCCCACCGTGACCAGCATCTTCATTTACTAAATATACATTTCGTCGCCGGCAACCACTTTTCATTAATAGTACATACAGTTCGTCTAGAACCGCTGGTCGGTTCTTTCTAATCTATCCCGAAACTTTTTCCTTATTTGCCATGCAGCGCTTAATAGCGGCGATCGTGGCGCTGTTGGCCGTGGTGCAGTGTGCTAAAGGTCAATCAGCGAACAACTCCGCCAGTCCGCTGTCGGCGACGCAGCAGGAGCGAACACGCGAGGACGTTCCAAGGGAAGTGATGAAGGAGCTGCTGCGGCAGCGCCAGTGCGATTTCACGCAGCCGCCCAGCGGGAATACCCACACCGCTTTTCCCTTCGCGGTTGCCGGCTATCCCGGCAACTATAATATGTATCATAGGCAACAGGTATAACTACACATTAAAAAACTATTATTATCTTTTATACTGGGGTTACATAATTTATTTTACAGTTCGATTTTGTATGATATTCGTACAATTATTGTATTTCCTCGCGTGTTTTGAAATAACTGCCAAAAAAGTTTTCATAAAATGTTACAAATTTATAGAAAATAAAACTGCGTTTAATATATAGGTATGTACAAGCCCATCCAACAATTCTTTGACCGCTGTAAGCGCAGCGCATATAAATCGCGCACAGTAATGCACATACGCATCGTAGTGTAGTGGCAGATATATTTATAAAATAATATTCAACCAATAATAATATATCAGATCACAATTAATCACCGATAAAGCCATCATCACAGTTAAAATTATCAGGTTAATCAACAAAAGCATAAAATTAATATCAATTATGATGGCAATAAACAATGCTAAACATATTACAATGTATATCACAGATACAGTACATAACTGCAACACATGCAGATTTGTTGATTATTTACGCTGAATGCGCAGACCCATGTGGCGTGACGTGTCGAAGCACATTAAATGGCTCAAGCCCACGTTTCTTTGAATTCCCGCTTACAGCGGTCAAAGAATTGTTGGATGGGCTTGTACATGTTTAGTGCATACGTACGGACTACCCTGTACGTATACACTACATTAATGTAGTGTATACGTACAGGGTAGTCCGTACGTATGCACTACACATGTAACAAATTTATATAATAAATATACGAGTATAACCAAATTTAATTTAATTTTTTTTCTTCTCTGAATTTTTTTTATAATTCAAAAATATAGTATCAAAGCTAATTATTGATATAATCTGGTTCCTCTGCAACCTGCTTAGATGATGGCGGGAATTAGCAGCCCGGTGGCAGCGGTGATGCCGGTCGGTCAGCAGCAGCAGCGATCAATTGACCCGGTCAGCTTCCTTACTTCCGGAGGTACGTCAATTTTAATAATTCTCGCGAATTTCTACAATGAGGGTAAGTAAACATAATTATAGAGATACAGCGTGATACCGCGGTTTTTGTTTTGGGCACGGAGGGGAAAGCGGAAATGTTTAACGAGTTGTGGTTTTTTAACGGTTTCTTCAACACGTGTTTAAGTGATGGTTTGAAATAAAAGTATAAGCACACATTAAACAATGTTGCACCGTTTTTCAGATCCTGTTCATGTTACGTGTACAATCTTTAACTTTAATAACAGAAAATAAACGGATATGTATCGCAACCATTCGATTCTAAGAACTCTGTATATAGGAGTACACGCGTAATACATCCTAATTTTATGCCGCACGTTGTGCTTTGGAGAAACCAAGTATTCGGTATCAATATTAGGTTATGCAGCAAGCATAAGCTGCACATAATTATTACAGTGCTATTTTTTCTAGTGTCCAGTTGAAGGAAAGGTTTTGTAGATTTTAATTACATAACAAACATATTGTGGACTTAACAATAATCAATGTAAAGATGTGGAATCTGTAATTTGTTTTGGTGAAATTACAAATTTATTTAAAAAGCGATGTATATTGTTTTGTATATAACGCACAAATAAAATGTTCAAATGTGTGCAGATATTACGGAAATTATTTAAAATATTCAAAAATAAACTATTAGACCGATATTTTCAAAATAAGTTTAAAAAATCATTTACAGCGGTGGGCGCCCAAGACGTTGGCGGTTGGCTCCGAAGACGTTGGCCCCGGAAGGAGAGCTAGTCGGTACCCGACTGCAACAGCAACAACAGCGCAGTCTGAAGGCCGTGCGCCAACAGCAGCAGCTAGAGCAGCAGAACTACCTTGGCCCGAACCTTCGCCAGCTGGGCCTCAGCTTGCCCGAATTTAACGCCCCCGTCATCGGCGGCTTCCAAACAGCCCGGTGGCAGACTGACGCCATCGTCCCGCTGGCTAGTCTGGGCGGTTATCCCACGGTCGGCTTCGGTTAGACCGGCCGCTAAATACTCTTTAATAGTTCTTTTCGTGTTCTCCCGCGTTGCGGAGTCAACTTTAAACATGTAACCTCGAAATCAGATCGGAAAGTGCGATTACCTGGATTCTTTGTACTAGTACTATAAAGTACACAGCGTATCGTATGTACCATGCCAAGTTGCCAGCGGCTTTCATCACGCAGTTTTACAGCAAGTCTTGCCTGTTTACGTGGTCACTGTGGTGGCTGGTGTTGAAATAACAAAGGCGGAAGTTGACTGCCTCATCTACACCATTGGTTGTGCTCATACTTTTTCCATCTGTGTTCCTGTTTTGGCTGTTTTGGTGGAAACAGCAAAGTATCTGTATGAACGCGCTAATAACCAAAACAGATTTTCTGCGAGCGACCACACAGAAATTATGAAAGCACGTTTACATTCCCATTCTAGATTTCCGACCTAGCAGGTAATGGATTACCTGCCTCCTTTTACTATAAACAACAATAATAAACGACATTTTTCGGGAACAGTTTTCTTTTTTGGGTAATAGTTTTGGAAATCAAAATGATTTACAAAACAAAAGGTGTTTTGTCGCTGACCAATGGACGTCGATTTTCCCAGCGCCATGCGGTCTTTTAAGAAAACATATACCGCATACTGGACGCCAGAGCCAAAGCGTGCCTATCTCAACTGAAAATGTGCGGACTCGTCCATTGTTGGGTACCAAAAACTACTTCGTGCCATTATTTCATTAACTGCGTGGTAACTCAGTTGTTGCAGAAATCCAAATTGTATATTTTCACTCCCGATAACGAAAAATTAAGTGTCTGCTGTACAGTACAATATACGGCAAACAGGATGTCATTATGCAATAAAACTGATATTTCATAAAAAACGTGTCATTTTGGGAAACAGACAAATTGTGTGCGCATTTGAAGCAGACAAAAACGCTGTAAATCTATTCTGTTTTGAAAAAAACTGTAAAATGTTTTATGTGCCGAGAAAAACAAGAAGTATGCTGTAGTAAAACCAGAAAAACAGAAACGTCTTGCTGTCCGTTTTTGCATTCAGTGCCGCAGTCAATCGAGTGACTTTTATCTGTCTAATCATTGTGGTGTTCCCCAACGGAGTTATAAGTAGAGGACATCAGACATAGCATCTCTTGTCACGAGTCGACTCAATAATAATACTTAATTATACACTTATATTTTATCGCAATTCGGGCGTCGCTGTGACTGAGCTGGGCGGCCTGGGAAAGTTTACACAAGTGGCAAGTGGCCACTGCTGCTTCGCGATGTACGATGCAGATTGTCACAATCAGTGCGGCATCGTCGTGGTCTGAAAGTGGTTGGTCGGTGGTGATACAAGATTTTGTATATGTATACAATCGACTGTGTTAAACACCGCAACGCCGCCATCCAGGCACGCGCACCGGCAATCACTCTAAAGAAACGATGAAATAATCCAACTACCAGTTTCTGAAAGCGCAGTAGTTTTTGTCAATTTACGCCCGCTAAAATTGTTGCGCACGCTGTGAATCAACGGGATGTTAGGAAGTTGTGACCTTTGCGATATCCCTTCGATTGTGCGCTCGGCGGATTAAGAGGAACTATTAATCATCATCTGGTTTACAAAACCAAGAGCTTGCATTCTATTTATCTTTGTCTCAAATTATTTATCTCATTCTGTATGGTTCTGTCCTTCGATTTATTTTGATCTCAAATCGTCATCCAGGTAATGCACGGGTACATTACATTTTATGAAGCAGCTTTATAAGGACAACAAAAACCATGTTGATCTTATGCGTGGTTCCAGTTAAAATTGCAAGCATTGCTGGTGAAATCTGCAGCATTATTAAGATGATGATTTATTTTTTATTACACTAACAGTAGTTATTTTCTGCCAGAGAAATGCCGCACTTGGCAATATACACAGTGTATGTTACTACTGGTACAGTGGTACTTTATAAATTACGTATTTTATTCAACATTAATCGCCTACTTTTAATATGTTTTTATTTATTTCTGTACAGTAACAAGTTAACAACAAATATATTCGGCCCCAAAGATGCTGTTTCGAGCGACATATAAATACAGTGTGCGATATTTATAAATACGTGTTTGCATTAACTGCTTGCTGCTTAATGACATTAAGCAGCAAGCAGGTCTAGCGAATGGTCTTTTCTGCTCAATACCGAGATCGACCAGGAGCGATTGCAGCCGGCTGGTACAGCGATCATGTACGCAAAATCGCAACGTAAAATAATAGAACAAAGTAAATAGAATAAAATGGAACAGTTTTTGCCAGACGAATGAATTAGGCTATTTCTACATTGCGTTATAATAAAACGAACACGTTGAAACTACAGTTAACAGGTGCATAATAAAAAAAATGTGCAAGCCGCTGCTTTGCCAGATTTAGGCAACGATAAATGTAATACGGCAATGAAGGCAGCTAGTGTTTATTAAAGGCGCCCAAAGTGTGCTGTGGCCAATGTGTAAAGTGCTGTGTGCATACACACGTAGTCAGCTAATACGCAGTTACACACCGCAATTACCACGCGGTCGTCATCAGCGCCACCACACTCAAAACGATAGCGGCCGTGATGGAGGATGTTGCGGTGACGGAGGATGTTGCGGAGACCGCGGCAGCGGACTTCGGGCTGCTCGTGGTGGTAGTTGAACTTGCACTGCCGCTGGCGGACGGCATTTGGTTGTGGCTGGTTGCATTCGGTGCAGCTGCATCGATCGTCGAGGTTCCGTTCACGACCGGTAACGGGCTGATCCACGACGAAGCAGCGGCCGCTGATGCTGACGAGTTTAGCAGCGCCGCCGCTGCGACACTGTGGTTGGATCCCGACATACGCGGCGGTATCGCGAGCGATGCGTTGGCGGCCGTGGCTGCGGAAGTATTTACCGCCAAACCGGCTGAGAGCCCGCTAGTATTCGTTTGGTTGTTTGTGCTTGACATTGGCTCGGTCGTGGTGGAATTATCTACAAAGAACTTCTATTCTCATTACAGTACTTTAAAAAAATAAATCCCAAAAACATATGTTTTCTTCGGGGATCGGTCGAAATATTCGCAGGCGTGAATTTAATTTTTGTTATTTTTCAGACACAATAAAAACTGCACGTACTCCTTTAGGTTTTATGTAAATACAGCCTACAGGTATACAGACTTACTTAACTACAATACAGAGATGCATGCGTGTAAGTAGTTAAATTTTTAATTTAATGCAGTTTTTTTGTGCAGTATAATAATGTTCTCGTACTGTAGATGGCTGTATGGAAGTTAGTTTAAACACCTATCGGTTTCGTTAACTGCACTGCGACGGAATCGCAGAACTAACGACGGAGTTTGTAGTGCACTGGCTGCCGTTTCAATGAATGCGTAGCTGCTGTTGTAAAGGTCGTCCGCACAATCCAAAATTAAGTTAATGGCCTTCGCCACTGGTTTTGAGAGTAAGTGGCATCCCCGATGCGTGTTTCCTAATGTGCAATGGAAGCGTCTCAGGTTAAATATCAAAAATTAGAGAACAGATTCGTTGTGTTAAGAAGCTGAACGGTGAAGGAACAGTGGTGGCAGTGTGGCACTAACCTTGGGCAACGGCAAGGACAAGCGGAGCCGTAATACCATCCCGTTGCCGCCGCGGCCAGGACTGCCCGCGTAGAACGGTGCCGTTTTCGAAAACCAAGAAACTGAAAAAAAGAATAATAGCACTAACGAATAACAGTAATCAATACTAAAAATAAAAATAGTTAAGTATATAAAATTATAATTGGCTAATAATAGTACTAACAATAAGAAAGTACGCAGTCATTCATGGATTACTAGCAGTAAATGTATAAATGATACTGTAGCGGCGTTAACAAGTTAGACCACAGAGTTGGTTTAACGGAAAAATGTACACTGAATATACCCACGCTGCACGGGCAAAATTCACGACGCAAAAATTCGGAGTTCCTTGGGCACCATTCATGTTCTGGAGTAACTAAACATTTTATAACTAATTAATAATATCTAAAATTAAAAATTAGTTAAAAACTGTACTACAGAAGGCTAAAAGTAATGCATACAAATTAGAGCTTTGATTTTACCATGTAGGTTTGTTGTGGTTTTTGGGGTAGCCCCTACGCTGGGGGGACGGTTTTTGTTTAGCATTTGAAGGCAGAAAGTGGCGTTTTTTGATGATACAAAAAATATTGGTGGAAAAATAGTCGGAATTAAGCAAACATCTGCTATCTGAAGATCGGTAAATGTAAACGCGATTGGAGCCGTGAATTTTGCCCGTGCAGCGTGGGTATATCAGTGCGCATTTTTCCGGTAAACGAACTCTGTGGTCTAACTTGTTAACGCCGCTACAGTACTTAATAAATAACATTATTTGACAGCGAGTTATTTTGCTATGGATACCATAAAATGAAAACTCAAAAAAAAGGTTTGAACGTTGGCAAAATAACCGTTTCGAGAAACTTATACGCATGCCGTAGAATTTTTAAAATATTTTCATTAGAAGAACCGCAGTAACTTGACCTACTTGTACGGGTGCTGCAGACGCGCCATTTCGCGGGGCGGATGGCTGAAGAACCTCCCGCAATCAATCCTGTCTGGACAGACATCCTCAATGGGATAGGTCACCACCATAAATGTCATTAAAGCCGAGGCGAGAAAGTTGTTATTGGGCATGGTATTCAGACTGTAAAGGTCAAGACCGGCGGCTGAACATGCTGACGACGCCATAGCTGAATGATTAAAAATTATTATCCAGAAAAGGCTCTTTTTTGAAAAATATGAAGAGGTCTTGAAGGTATAAAAATCGCTTGCGAGCAAATGAGGTTTATATTCGTCTGTGCCTTCGATTGAGTCACGATAGCCAGAGTGCCAGACCAACCTATGACGTCGTATTGGCACGTCTTAAAACACACCGTTTGCTGCATAATGCCAGTGATTAGGATACGATAAAACCCATTAGACCGTGGTCGGTGCGTTGTTGGCAAGGGTTCCCAGCTGTCGTACCGGAAGTGACGTCATGCTAGACGGCGAAAGTTGCAGGCACGCACCTCGTCAGCGGCATGTAGCGCAGGAAAAAAACGGCTTTCGGTGATTCAGGCAATTTAACGGTGCGCAAGGATGGCATCAGGTGGCAGGCGCGTTCGTTCCACTCTGCAGACACGTTCATAGTCAAAAGCTCCTTTTTTTTTCAAAAATGATATTTTCAGAAATTTGTTTTTGCGTAAAGATAATCAATTAGAGAATGTTAAGTTTTCTGTATCTTAATTAGCGCTTACATGGCTCAACAAATTAATATTAATTTTTTGTAAAATACTATATAGTATAAACAAATAAAACAATACTCTATAAACTGTTACTATTCTCTCCTTTGTGATAGTTTTCGTTGACCATGGGAAGAACAAGGAAACGATAGTTTAGTATATGACAAAATATGCTTTAAGATACACAACATACTGACCTTTGTCAGCCGTGTCTATATGATATTATAGGAATGTTAGCACATTAGTACAGGGTCTAACATTACGATTTAGAGTGACACTACGCGAGTTAGAGTGATACAATACGAGTACTGATCTTGTTGTTCTGGGCTTAGTGCTTGTGCATGCCGTTGCCGCGCTTTGCTCCCGTATTAGCCTGCAGCAATTCTGCGGCGTGTGCTTCTCTTGTGTGCGTATTTGTGGTGTTTTTTACGAGTTGTGGTGACTTTACAAGCCCAGCAGATTATTTTTGATATTCTTCTACGGATAGGGATACGTGAAAGTCCCCTTTACCGGCTTGCAGCTGCTCGATACCAAATTATTAACACAACAAGTCAAACTGCATCTGCGAGTGGCACCACACTCATAACGTATTTAATAAATTAATGATCTTTCCCGGCGTCCCCTCTCTACAAACCCATCGCGAGCTGTACTGTATGTTACTGAACATTTAACAGGGTCGTTCCTGCCATTCAGGACTCTAAAAAAGCATTTTTATAAAAGAACATCACACCCACAACCTTTTAAAATATAGTAACGTTTAAAATAAAATACGCTGATAAAATTGATAAAATACGCTGTGCGTCGTCGTGGTCTTTCCTTTCAGCGGTGAGAATGTTTATACAAGCCGACAGCCACTTTGTGGTGATGTGCGATGCAGATTGACTAATCAGTGCGCCAGATCGGCGTAGTGGAAAACGGTTAGCATGGCCGCTACTTCGATAATTATGTAACTCTCAGTCACCCAAACGAATCGATCTCTACTTTGACATTTATCGCATTCCAGACACTTTCATAACACAAATTCGCGCTTCGGATACCAGAGACAGAAATTCTCTGCGTTGTTCCATAATTGAAAATCTAATATTTCTTTCTGAATCCCATGTACAAGCTTGTGTGAAAGCAGTGCTTTCAAACCACTAAGTACGTCCACGTAAACAATTTATGAAAAGTTTTTATCCTGTGGAACAGCGCCAAAAATATATAACCTGTTTCAGGTGCTCATACGCAAATCTATATTGTGAAATTATGCGAAATGCAAAAAAAACGTCGAAACATGTACTACACAGTCCCAACAACCGTTCACCGACGACCACAAAACTAACAAACCCAGTCCCAACAACCGTTCACCGACGACCACAAAACTAACAAACCAGAATGAGGTAAGGAAATACTATCAGAATAATTTTATTTTCAATAGTTATCAGTAATATCGTTTCCAGTTGCGCAGCTGTCACAAGTGCAGTAAATCGATGGAGAAACTGGGACCTTCAGGTCAAATGATTGACTGCATGTCGTACTTTGTACTTACGCCTTTAGTGGATAACCAGGAATTTGTTATCCTGCAGTGCCGGAAATCGAATTCAATTTTCTGCCTATGTAAGGGGAGCCCATATAAGGCAGTATTCGAAGTACACATTCAGATGTTTCCGTTTCAACCAGCACCAATGAAATGCTCATCATCATTACTGTAACACTGCAAATATTATTTGTACGGCTACAGTATTCATAATTCAGCCTTCTATGAAACGAGTTTATCAATAGTAAGCAGTACGCGTTTTAATTCAGAATCTTCGCAGCATGATGGCCGGCTCATCTAACGGCTCTAACATACAAGGGCGCCGCCACCGGCTATAAATCTTAAAAAAATTCGTTTCTCTGCAGAAGGGTAGAGGAACATTAGCGTAGGAATTTTGCTAACAATTTTTCAACCATCGCTAAAAGTACGAGTTAAAAAGGCGCGTACCGATCAATCTCTATTAAACATAATTTATTTTCCATATTTTTCACTTCTGTTTTTGACAATCAGCCAATTGAAATGATATACCTATGTATTATTATGTTCAAAGTCCAGCAAATGCCGAGACGAAAAAAACTGGTGGGCACTTGGCAGAGTAACAAGAATAATGAAACTGCAGTTGAAGTGTGCACCGTGGATAGCATGGGGTCATATTAGCTTCGGGGTCAGAATTTTACTGTATTTACTCCTAAATTAAAGGTTCCGTGCGTCCTGTTGATTCGATCGCCCTCGTTCAGCAAAGCGATTTTCCTCTGCATCGCAAAAGTATGTAACATTATTTTGCGCTATACATACTTCCTGTGTGCTATATTACATGTATATAGCTCAAGAATACCATTTTTGAATTACGTATTCTTATTCTAGAATTCACAGAACAATTCCACTGCTGATATAAATAACGCAAAAAATTTGGCTTTTGGAAATTTAGGAAGTTGACCTTTCCTTGTCTTACCGAGGTCCACCTCCAGCGATCGCGGCCGGTGGGCATTGCGCGGTTGCATATTATGTATTCCCTAAAAACACATAAGCAAACTGATGAAAAACAAATTAGTAAATAAATTCTTAAGTAAATTGATGCAACCTTGAAAAATTTGGTTCACGTTTTTCAGAATTTCAAATTAAACTGAAAAATGTATTTTTACAATTTGATTTTTGTTTTAAATTGTTCGTTCGTTTGTACATCTCAGTGTCTCACAAGCTGCAGTTTTGCGCAATAATTTTGCGCTCTGTTAACATTACAGTAAACACTTGGAACAAAACTAAAAAATGGGAATTTTGTATTACTTCTACAGCGATTTTATTGCTTCGCAGTTGCATTCGACTTTATAGAATACCAAATGTTATAAATAACAATTCAATGTCATATATTTTTAAGAAGATACTTAACGGAAAAAAGTAACGAGCGTCTGATCATTAACAAAACAATTAACAGTGCATTGCATTTAAAACGGCACGCAACGCGTGCACAGCAGCAAAACATTACACGCGGCCCATTACCCGTGTCTCGGTGCGTCGGTGCTGCACGTACAGATAACCGACCAGCAGCGCCGACGTTATCAAGGCCAGCACGCCCAGTGCAATACCGGCATCCGCCGCTGCTTTCGTCGCCACGTGCACGACAGCCGAAGCTTTTGTCGCTGGAGTGGTTACCGCTGCGGTTGATGTGGTCTTGGCGGTGCTCTCCGCACCCAACGCTGGTTTATCTATACGTGTAGTGTTGCCTGAAGAATGTGTGTCGTTGTCCGTTATATTGAACGATGCTGTGCTGTCGGTGTTCGTCGAAGCGTTGCCCGTTGCGTTGCTATTAAACAGCGGCAGCGTGTTGGTGTTATTCGTTGAGCTGGATGCGTTGAGTGGCGTTTGGCCAGTTAAATTCTGGGTATCTACGAAACATTAGAATGTTTTTATATAATTTTTGTTTTTGTAAGCAAGCACTTGATATACTCCTGTGTAACTATACTGCAGCAAGGTTGATATAATTAGAATTTGATACATTCCCGGATTTATTTACATACAGCGGAGTTTAATAATTTTTCTATGGGTGGTATTATCATGGCAGAAAAAGCAAAATTATTAGCCGCAGTAAAATTTTACCGTTTAAATCAGCTCCGCGGCGGAATCGCAGAACAGACATCGGCGTTTGCAGTGCAGTAACGGCCGTGCGGATGGACTGGTAGTTGCCGGGGACGTACTCCTCAGAGCAGTCCAAGATGCTGTTGATGACCTTTACAGCGGCCTGTGAAAGCGGTCGGTATCCACCATCTCGTGTGCCTATTTAAATCGAAAACAGAAGATTGGTTTATTCTTAATGAAAGATGCAGTTTTTTAGTGTCGGTAAAACAAACCTCGGACAATCGCGATAACGAGCGGCGTTGGAGTGCCGTCACTCCGTATCTGCGGCCAGGCTTGTCCGAGTAGAATGGTGCCGTTTTCAAAAAGCAGAAAACTAAACAAAGATTTTATATGCCAGCAGTATAAATATGACTGTTCAATATTATTGCTATTACTATATTATATAGAAATAAATTTTTCAAATTATTCGAAGCCTTACTTATAAGGATGCCGGAGATGGGCCATTTCCGTGGGCGGCTCCGTGTAAAACAGCCGGCAATTTTGGAAATCGGAGCAGACATTAATGTCGGGAACAGGATAGGTTACCACCATAAATGCCATCAAAGCAGAAGTAAGAAAATTGCTACTGGACAAAGTATTCAAATTATAAAGAACTGCACACGCGGAAAACGCCATTTCATTATGAAGCGTGTAGTATTAATACTAAGTGGCGAAAAAGGAAGTCACAATTATTGTGGAAAGATTAAGTTGAGTACGTTGAGAAAGGAAGGGTTTATAAAAAGGTCAAATTGTAGAATAGTTGAGGAACAAACGAAAGTGAATATTATTCTGAACAAAGTTGGCTGAATTTATACCTCGTACGTTTGCGTTAAAGAGAAAATCGCCGTCAAGCACAATTGTGACGCCCGACTAATGACGTCGCATCGGCACATCCCGTATTACAAACGTACACGTCTAGTATCAGCGATCAGGATTCGATAAGGCCGGCGCGTCACATTTGGCAAAGGTCACCAAGCTGCCCCACCCAGAAGTGACGTTTTTCCGGCAAGAAATTTGCCGATTAAACTGCCAGCGAACCAAGATGAGGAAAAAAGTTCGCTTGATGACCCTGATACAGCATTAGCAGTACTAACTGCATTGCACGCATTGCGGCGTCACATGCGCAATCAAGGGCAGCGTTGTGTCGATACGGTGTGTAATCTGTGTATTTGGCATTTTTTGGCTAAAAGGAAGTGAGACAATTCAGATTAATTATTATTCTAATGCTACACCCCAAATCTTCTTCCGGTATTTTGGTGGTCCGGTAGTCCGGTAAAATACGACATCATTATGAAGTTGCATCTTTTTAGAAACAAGTGCGAACGTTTGTTTTACCAGGCAATTGAAAGTAAACTGTTCAGTATTTTCAACCTGCTTGAGGAGATTAAGGGATCTCAAAATCCAAAAATAATCCATTTTTGATACGTTATAATTTGACAAGAAGTTGAAAAAAATTTCGTACGTACCGCAAAACTTGCGCCGGCGTTATTTACATTGCCTCGGATGGCCGATTAATTTCCCCTTTTTTGCGTTACCTGAGTTACCTCGTATGTGCAATGAGATAGTGCGCAACACTCAAGCGTTCCGGGATGCGATCTCCCTTTTCTGGGCGGCTGGCATTATTTCGTTGTGCGGCCGTATTTTTTGGACGTTCAGCTTATTGCCGCCTTTCTCCATGCAAGATAACTATAATTAACCATCTTTGGAGAAAATTTCAAAAAATATTCATCGCTCCTCTAGTAAACCATACTGGTTTCCGCACTGTGTCCTCTGATTTTTCAATGCAAATTTTATTTCACATGACAAAGAAAACGCACATGGGCTACAGATGACTGGTGATCAAAGGAGAAACCGGCAAGCGAACAGCAATATAGTCACTTGCGCTGTACTTCATCATAACCTGTGGTATATTTTTGCAGTCGCTGCCGAATGCCGACATCAGCCGCATGCACCTTTCTAAAAACGCGAGACCGGGCGTTGCTCTCCGTTTTGGACGCCCAGTAGCGGAGGAACCCGACTGTGTGCACTGCGAAAGGCGAAAACGGCTTGTCATGCCCTAGCAAAAAAGAACAAAGGCAATATGGCCGCAACACCACCGGCGCTCGACACCGAAAACAAAACGGGCGTAGTAGAAAGCGGATTATCACTGCTAAAACAAACCTAACACTGAAATTTCCAAGCAAAGATAATAAGCGACCGGAAGGAATGACGTCAATCCCAGTGCTCGACGGAACCGTGCTGGCATGGGATGCCACGTGCTGGGACACTGTGGATGACTCCCACGATCGGACTAGCTAAACGACTTCCGGCATCGGGCGCAGTTGGCTGAGGATAGCAGGCTTAAGAAGTAAACTGCAGTTTTGGAGGACAGGGGCCATTTGTTTTATCCCCTGGTAATGGATGCATTCGGTATATTCTGATACGATTTGCTGGCAGAGAGATTCGTTGACGCCACCGACACTATGCAGGTTTTGAACATGTCTGACTTTCAACGCTTTGCATTTAACCAGCATTATTTCTGCTTTGATATACATTTTCAAATTCAGTTTCTTTCGATCTTGTCGCTTATATTCATGAGATGCACGTATTTGATGGCTTAGAGAGATAGCAGCTTGACTGCACCAAAATAATCGGAAGCTAATCGTGTTGGTTCTCCCCTTAAATTTAGTATCATCCAGTTCTTCTTCCTTACCGAGGGAACAACTGGCCTGCAGTCGTGGCACACCTATTCACTGTTTTTTTTTTATTATGGTAATCGTTATCATTCTCGTAGCTAATATGGTTGGCCTGTATCCTTTTCCAACATTCACAGCGGGATTACTTTTGAAGTACCGTATAAGCGATACAATTTGAAATGCCCTAGTAGCATTATTTACATGAACGCAAAAGCAGCGTATGTGACTTGTCAGGTTCTAAGGCAAAGCCCCTATGGCACCATCAAGCAGGAGAAATATTTTTAAAGAAAACTGTCGACCTTATGTGTAGCAGGCAGTAGTTGGCTTGAACAGGTTACAGATATAATATCAGTCTAACAACTGGAGAGTTACGCCACGCAGATGACAAATCCAGACCTTTCTGGTTTACTTGCACAGATGCATGGCCGGAAGTGAAGAATTATGTGCAAAGTGCAAGATTCACCTCACCCGCATAATTCACCGGTAATTTTTAACTGGCGTACACATACACCTTGTAACAATTAAATTACTGTTTATCACTTATATAAACATGCTAGCACAATGAACAATATCCTATTGCCACGAATGGGATACACCAGAGCCGTCAAACCAGCAACGACTGACCAAAACCAATATTATATTCTGAAAGCCCGTACCTGAAAACCCGGCCAGATAGTATTCATTTCTTTCAAAACCTCTCCCGCTTCGAACGCCAAAGCGGAAGAGTTTTGACTACCTTCACCAAATGCAACTAAATTATTGTTGTAATAATAATTATTATCATCGTGGTTTTTTTAACCAGGCAATGTTGCCACGTAAACCAACTAAAATATGGCTAAAAAATGAAAGTCATTTTTACTATCTAAATTATCAGAATGAAATTAATTAGCAGACCGTTATTACGAAAACAACGACTACATATGCAATGTGCGGGACCCGTTAGATGAGCAGGTGACCCAGCCCTCGGTACTGTCCAGTGTGCGGGATCGCTCTAGGTGAGCGGGAGACCAGGCTACCGGCACTGTCCATTGTACGAGGCTCGTTCGGTAAACGGGTGACCAAGCTCTCGGTACTTTTCAGTGCACAGAGTCCGTTAGGCGAACGAGTGACCAAGCTACCGGTACTGTCCAGTGTACGGGACCCGTTAGGAGAGCGGCTGGATCATTAGGTGAGAGAGCGACTGGATCATTAAGTGAGCGGGTGACCCAGCTCTCGGTACTGTCCAGTGCACAGAGCTCGTTAGGCGAACGGGTGACCAAGTTACCAGTACCGTCCAGTGTACGGGCCCGTTACGCGAACGAGTGACGAAGCTACCGGTACTGTCCAGTGTACGGGTATCGTTAGGTGAGCGGATGACCCGTCACTCGGTACTGTCCAGTGGGCGGGACGCGTTAGGTGAGCGGGTGACCGAGCAACCGGTACTGTCCAACGCAAATAGCTGACCGAACTGCCGGTACTGTCCAGTGTACGGAGACTGTTAGCTGAACGGGGGACCAAGCTGGCACTACTGTACAATGCACAGATCCCGTCAAAGGAACGAGTGACCGAGCTTCCACTACCCAAATTCATCAGGTTGGGGTCCATAGAATCATGAATTCAGTTGTGAGAATTTATGGTGATTTGAGAGAATCACGAACTGATTAAACAAATCATATAAAATTAAAATCTGTGCTTTTATATAAAATCCGTTTTTTTGCTCTAATACGATGTACCGATTAAATTTCGACGAAATATGTTATTATTCTAATAGTTATTCATTGGAAACTAAATAAAGTGGCCGTTGACCACAAGAAACGCGGAGGCGAAGCCGAGGCTGTTTCTTGTAATGTGTAATTCCCCACATTATAATTATATTTTGATTCTTAGATCGTTTTACTTTTACATCGACGCAGTAAAACAGCAGATTTTTAATATTTGGCTAATGGAACAACTAATTACCTATGCTCGATCGGTAGACTGTCTGGTTCGTATACTTCGCTTTGCCCATTATTTTAATCAGTACCGCTTTAGGGATCAATATATTAATCACTTTACCGAACTGACAGCCTTTTGGGGCGGGCGGCTACATGAACATTTACAGCTGACTGTAATGCAGTCTTCGCACTGACTGAGTCGAACGATATGCAATATTGTGTTGAAATCCGCATAACGAATTTTATTAATAATTATCAAAAACCGCCGAGCTTTCATGCATAATTTAGTATTTTACTCCTTCTCTGCGTGCAAGTTTTTTATATTAATAATATTATCTGCTTTGTTGTACTACATATTAATTTCGATTTATGGACAAGCAAGGCCGTCTTAATCTCGCTGTCAAACAAGTTCAGGATGGAGTCTTTTCTCTGCGTGGTGCATCGAAGTTGCATAAAATTCCCTTCTCTACACTGCATGATAAGGTGCGTGGGACGCAACGCGAAGCTGTGGGATCTTGGAAAAGGAAGTTTAACGATGCAGAAGGAACGTATCTGGCGGAATTTTTGCTGAAGTGTGCAGATGTTGGAGTCCCCATGAACAAGACGTTTTTACGAAGGTTGGTGATAAAGAACGCGGAGCAAAAGGACTGGAGCCAACGTTTAGCAGGAACTGGTTAAAGGGTTTTCTTAAGAGACATCCCGCTTCGCTACCGCGTTTCACACGGAGTGAATAGGAAGAAGGCCCGCGAATGGACGGCAGAAAACTGTGAGGGCTGGGTTACGCTCCTGAGTGAACTGCACATGGAAGGATGGCTGGATAATCCCAACGGATTTGGAATGAATTTAGATAAGAGCGCCTTCTCTACGGCTGGGGCTGTTTCTGACGTTCTGTTTTTCTTAATAAATGTTCTTAGGAATTGTAATATCTGTTTATGAAAATCTAAAAAATTATTTTTTTAAAAAGGCCTGCACGTCAAAAGTTAAGTTTCGGGTGATTAATATATTGGTCCGTACAAGGGAAGTGATTGAAATAATGGGCAAAGCGAAGTACTTGTACACATTAGAAATTTTCTTTGGTGACTACGTAACTAGCGTTCTGTCGCTCCCAGCCCCAGGTCAAATAACAAGTGAAATAAAACCGAAAATTAATTTATTTTTAAATTTAAAGAGG